AGTCCTCAGAAGGAAGAACTGGGTGAGCCCAAGATGGGAAGGACCATTCCAGTGCTCCTGACCACGCCTGAATATCCCTGAATACTTAATAACTTTGCTGAATAGTCCTATAAAGTGCTCTAAGATGATGCATTGTTAATTGGCACATTATAAAGAAAACAAATGAAATTTCATTTGCTGATAAACAGTGATTTGCACACATTATACCTTAATTCATACTGAATCACAAAATATTACTAAAACTGCATTGTGTAAGAAGGTCATCAATTAAAGCTGCCCTTACTTCAAGCTGATCACGTAAAAACAACCCCCTAAATTAATGCATTTAGATCATATTAGAACTATTTCTAGTTGGGTATTCCTAAAGATGTTATTTTTAGTGTGCCCTTCCCCAACCCAAACTGTTTAAAAAAAAAAATGACATCATAAAATTTTCCAAAATGTCTTGATTTTCTATAGCAGCAAGAATTAATTTTACTGTACATAATGGGCTGAGCCCTCTCCTGAAAAACAGGAATTATCCCTCCGACAAGGTATGAAATTGACTAAAGCATGTTATGAAAGAGTAGTCCTTCTGGTAGCTAAGAAACCCAAACGTATCCCCTGGAGGACAATAGCTTATTATGTAATATTCAATGAACCGTCTTTTCTGTCACCATCGAGTTTTGCTGCTGGGGGTGTCTCTGTTTGGACTCTTTAAGATTAGCAGATCTGAGCTCAGTTATTAGTCCTGGCACAGGTCCCAGGTCCTGAATGGTTGGAAAACTGCAACTTGTTGAGTTGCACATTAACTTTTTGATCTCTTCTTTGGTGGAAACATGCCCCCGTGTCTTATTTCGTGTTGATGTTTTAAAATGGACTTTCTGTTTTAGTTTATAGACAAATGGATAACTATTGGGGGAGTGGGTAACCCACTGAATCATGATTATGATAGAATTACAAACTAATACAAGGATGAGAATTAATTCAACACAGGTGTTATATTTCACTCTAAGTGCATACATTGACACTGGTTCATTGAAGTACTTATCTTTCTTTATAGTCTTGTGTCTGTATGTTCTAATCATTGGTTCTAATGTTCTACTGATCGTTGTTATCTGTGTGAACAGGAGCTTACATGAGCCTATGTACATGTTTCTTTGCAGCCTGTTTGTTAATGAACTGTTTGGCAGCACAAGCTTGTTTCCCTTCATGCTGATTCAGATCCTCTCTGATGTTAACAATATTTCTGCTCCTCTTTGTTTCCTGCAGATTTTCTGTATGTATACCTATGGAAGTGTAGAATTCGGTAACTTAGCTGTTATGTCTTATGACAGATATGTTGCTATCTGTCGTCCTCTGCAGTATAACTCACTGATGACTTCCCAGAGAATCGTCTTCCTAGTGTCTGTCACATGGATATATTCTTTCATCACCGTTGGAGTCACCATACTCATGAGTTCCTCTCTACAGTTTTGTGAAAATGTCCTTAATAAGATTTACTGCACTAATCACTCTGTTATTAAACTGGCTTGTAACGAGCCCAGAGTCAATAACATCTATGAACTGGTAATGCTTATTCTCGCAGCCTTTGCTCCTATTTCTATTATTTTATACACCTATATGAGGATTCTTAAAGTGTGTTTTTCGGGGTCTAAAGAGACCCGGCAGAAAGCTGTCAGTACCTGCACTCCTCACCTTGCTTCTGTTATCAATTTCTCTTTTGGTGTTTCCTTTGAGATCCTAGAGAGCAGATTTAACATGAATAACGTTCCTGGTATGTTAAGAATATTTTTAGCACTGTACTATCTAAACTGTCAACCTTTCTTAAACCCTCTTCTGTATGGTCTTAATATGTCTAAGATACGAAACCTGTGTAAAAAACTGGTTCCCAAATTTATATCATGAGGCAGGTTGGTTCTCATGTCTGAGAAAAGGAAAATTAAATTATGTGTAAATCTTTGATTGTAAGGATTTTTTGCAAAATCAAAAAACATATGAAAGCAACTATTAACTAGTCCTGTCACTGAAATTAATCTGCTCTTATGGCAGTGGCATGACTTGACTCCTCTCATTAAGTCATCATGTTATGAAATTTGTGACCATTCTGCAGCTTTTGTTTGTTAAATGCCACAGTTTGTGTTCTCTCTGCACTTTTTGCCATAGTAGCTTCATCCAGTCTGTTCCTTTTTAACTGTGACACGATCCTTGAGAGAAAGATCAGCTGGGCTGCTGGCATGAAGGGGTGATGATGGCGTTGGATGCAAGATTTCGCCCTGCTGCCGAAGGGTTTCGGTATGTCCTTGGGGAAGACACTTCACTTGCATTGGAGCCTATGTCTAATATACCATATTCAGTATGTGTGTAAATGCCTGAACGTAGTGTAATACAGGGCATTGGCCTTTTTTTTTTGTGCTTATTCCTATTTATCTCTTGGCTTTGCCCTAAGCCTTTACTGTGACTAAATGTATGTTCTCTCTTTCATCACTTTGCTATGAATTCTGACTCAGAACTTGTCTCCCTATCAGTTAATTTTTTTAGACGGTGGATCTAGCTCACTGTTACTTTTATAAAGTTTTTAAGGATCATTGCCTCTATAATTCTTTTGTATGTCTGCTTCTCTCTCCTTGATGGCCGCTCACACTTTGCCTGTTTATTCTGGAGGCTTATTCTTGTTAAAAGGGAGTTTTCCCTCTCCACTGTTGCTTCATGCCTGCTCATTGTGAGGGATTGTTGAAGAGTTAACCACAAAATGCAAGCAAATATTTACTGCTCGTGCCCATGCTCTTTCAGGAGGAGCATGTCCGGCAAGTAAATGATTGAAGCAGTTTTACCGAATACTCTAAGTTGTCTTAACCATGGAAACAGAGATACTCTGGCTTTTACGGTTCACATGGAGAGTTTATTTAACCTCTGTTTCAGTCACCATAGTAACATTCTCCCCAGAGCTAACCTGGTCAGGGTGTCCTCTGCCTCTGCCCTCCTTACAACCGATCAGGTTGTGTTATTTCCCGATTTAGTACAATTTAGGTCGTAGTTTTGTGCATAAAAAAATAATCGATGTCATTAACAAGGTCCCTTACAGACATTAGGTTTTAAAAACAAAAATTGCATGTCTGTTTGACGAGGATCTTGTGAAAGAATGATCAGCACTTTTTTAAAGAGAATTAAATATTTATAGGGAGAGGATTCTACAACTCACCTGGCAGGGCTCGAGATTACTTGTTTTTGGTTTTTTTAAATATGAGCAAGATGTGGATCATTTTTTTTTATTTAGTTAGATTTGCAGTACATGAAGAAATACTGAAATTATTTTTAGTTCACACATAATTGATTAATTCATTCCATGGGGGAAAAGCAATTACTTTAGGGTTAGTTAGGATTCACTAGATGATAACCTAATGAGTCTAATGGTACAATCTGAGGCCAACCTATGGGCCTGATAACCGCGTATAACGGCCATTTATTGGGACGATAACATCTGAAGCGCAGCTGCAAACAGCTCCTTTACTATGTTAAACTAGACTGAATCAACATGAGGAGAGAGGCATGATGATCCACAGGTTCTATCAAACACAAAATCTCTGTCTTAAATAGACACAGCTGATGGACCAAACCATTTACATGAGATTTAACTACTCCTCACTTCCATTTAAAAAACAATTTTAAAACAATTACTGTAAATTTTGAATTTCAAATCAGTTTATTTATATAGTGCCAATTTACAGCACGTGTCATCTCACAACGCATTACAGTTCATCAGATCATCCAGTCAAATTGATTCAAAGTGGAAAACCAGCTGATTGCATTGACTCGAAGGGAATCCCTCAAACTAAGCATATTTGTAGCGACAATGGAGAGGAAAAACTCCCTTATAAAAGGAAAAAACCTCTAGCAGACCCAGCCTTAGTGTGAGCGGCCATCTGCCGAGGCCAACTGGGGTTCAAGGAAGCTATATGTGCACAACTCCCCCTATATTTTCCATGGTCTCTCCCAGAACCTATACATTGTGTCTGGACCCCCAGGGAAGCATTTGTCCCACCACCAACCCCTTAAGATAACACAGAAAAGACAGGTAAGGGACTTCCCCAGCACCACAACACTTCTTTTGCACTCACTTCCAACAGACTTTACACTAACTTTAGCTAAAGTTTCTAGACAGTAACCCTTGTTCTGAACACCCCAACCGTTAGTGGACAGTAGCTATGGAGAGCCCAGAATAAAAGGCTACATGCTACCCACCAAAACAAACAACAAATATTCAATAAAAACTTTATAAATCTTTTGTGCAAATTGTTCCTTATGTGCAAATCTATTCTTAAAGTGCAGTGCTAAATAAAGTGTGCTTTTGCTTAGTAAGCTGGTTTTTAATAAAGTGCAAAAGTCCATTTAAAGTGCTTCAAGCTATTTACATAAAAAAAATATTTACATAGAAATAGCCCCAGTAATGAAGACCTCTTCATTACAATGGTTGATGACATATTGCTAAAATCACTCAAGGCAGAAAGCCTTAAATTATACCTGTCCTCACATTTAGTTCGTGTATTGCAACACCCTTAATGAATGTGCTTATGTAAATAAATCTTCAACTGAAAAGTATTTCTTTAAATCAAATTAATCATCCACTTAATTCACACCTTAGTCTTAAACCTGACCCCTGACCCCAAAAACAGCAGTTCCCGTGTGGGGTCCAGGGATCAGGCCCCACAAGAGCAGTCCGTCCCCACAACGGAAGTTCAATAGTTCATTGTGGAATATTTAGTCACAAGGTTTGCTGCTGGAGGCGTCTCTTTTAAGAGAAGCAGAGGCAGATCTGAGCTCATTTAGGTATTGCATGGTCACATTTCCTGTCATGCTTTGAGGTTTTCCACAATTACCTTCTTAATTTCTTCTTTTGTTGTGGTGGAAACATTCTCCTGGGTTTTATTTTGTATTGATGTTTTAAAATTGATTTATTTTTTATGTTCAAAACCAAATGGGTGATATTTGTTTGTAATATGTTCATCTACTGACATATAATTATGATTGAACTGCAAACTAACACAAGGATGAAAATAAATTCAACACAGGTTTTATATTTTACTCTTAGTGCCTACATTGACACAGGTTCATTGAAGTATTTTTCTTTTTTTATAGTCCTGTGTCTGTATGTTCTTATCGTTGGTTTTAACGTCTTGCTGATCATTGTGATCTGTGTGAACAGGACCTTACATGACCCTATGTACATGTTTCTGTGCAGCCTGTTTGTTAATGAACTGTACGGTAGTTTAGGCTTGTTTCCCTTCATGCTGATTCAGATTCTCTCTGATGTTCACATTATTTCTGCTCCTCTTTGTTTTCTGCAGATTTTCTGTATTTATTCTTATGCAAGCATCGAATTTAGTAACTTAGCCATAATGTCTTATGACAGGTATGTCGCTATATGTCGTCCTCTCCAGTATAACTCACTGATGACTTCACAGAGAATCGTCTTTCTAGTGTCCATCACATGGATACATTCTTTTTTTTCTGTTAGTGTTACAATATTCCTGAGTTCCTCTCTGCAGTTCTGCAGGAATGCCATTAATAAGATTTACTGCAGTAATTATGCTATTATAAAGCTGTCTTGTAATGAGGCAAGGGTCAACAACATTTATGAACTTGTTATGCTCTTTCTAGCAGTCTTTGTTCCTGTATCTGTAATTCTATACACCTACATGAGGATTCTTAAGGTGTGTTTATCAGGGTCTAAACAGACCCGGCAGAAAGCTGTCAGTACCTGCACTCCTCACATCGCTTCTATTATCAACTTCTCTTTTGGCTCTTCCTCTGAGATCTTACAGAGCAGATTTAACACAAATAATATTCCTGCCATGCTAAGAATATTTTTAGCACTGTATTATCTAACCTGTCAGCCATTTTTCAACCCAGTTCTGTATGGCTTGAATCTGTCCAAAATACGCAGCCTGTGTAAGAAGCTGGTTTTAAAATGTGCATTTTGAAGCAGGTTTTTTCTTATATCTAAGAGAATTAAAATTGAATATTAATTAACATTTGACTTCTCATTTATTTAAAATAATAATAATAAAAAACCCAAGAAAGCAACTTTTAAGCCATATTGACACTGAAATAAATACCCTCTATGGGGATGATAAAGTTATCGTCTCTCCTTAACATAAATTAATTTTGTCCTCAATCATCTCACAAGCTTTGTAGTTGTTGATTCTGGCTGTGCATGGATCTCTAAGAGAACCATAGTCAACTATTTAAATGTAAATGATAAAGGCATGTAGGTACTTCATAGTTATTTAAAAGACAACACAGTCATCTTAAAGCATAGTCAATGTTATTCAAATACAAATGTGAATAATGTAAACAGTAGCCTCTTGTGTAAGTTTATATAAACCATATATTGTTACAGAGCAATAAACATTATTTAGCTTGTGTGGTTTTAACAAGTTTAAGCCAATCAACTGCTTTACTTCTGATCAGACAACGAAGAGTTACACAGGAAAGTTGATACACAGGGAAGTTGCTGCTTCCTTCTGTGTTTAAAAAAAAATCTTCTTTCTATGAAGATAGATGTCTATATTTATTTCTCCCATAAGGTAACATGGTTCTCAAGGTCACAGGATGAAGAAGAGCAAAATAGATCTCACAAAGCTCACATCAAATTCCTTCCCTTGCGTCTCCAAACTCAGGTCCTGGAAGAACATTGGTTTGCCTTCATGTGTAACAGTCTTTGGATTTAATTAGCTGGATCAGGGCGGACCTTGGCTTCTGGTCAGCAGTCCTTCTGCTCAACTGGATGTTGGAGTACAAAAGCCTCGCTCAATAATCAAGAGCTCTCTGAAGCACACCGGTTTCAGGATGGTCTGTTTACAGCTAACAAAGTTATTCACAGAATAAAGCCCTTCACAGCCCCTTTCGTGGATAGATGAGCTGAATATTATTTTGTCAGTTGTAGTTCTCCAGCTGATCTGTTTTCCCCTTTTAGAAATAATTGTTATTTCTCAGCTTGAGATGCTAGACTCAGCTTTGCCAGCGAATCCTCCATCATGCATATGTGTTCCTCAGCTTCGGTGAGCTGTGTGTTTAATCCATCCAGCATCATTTTATGTTCAGACATCGATTTATTTGGTTCGGCTGTTTAACCACTAATCCCTTTAGATAATGCTATATTGCAATTTCTGATTTCTTGGAGGAGAATTTGTAGATCCCACTCATGTTTGCCTGAGTTGTGGATGCAGTAAATTTTCCTTCCTCATTGAAAACTGCTGTGGATTTTTTGGGTGCATAACACATCCCTTATTTGAGCAGATTTATTTATTTTTCTTAGCCCTCAAAGTCATAGTGTGCTGCCCGAATTAAATTTTCATTACGTTTAAATGTGTAAAAAAATATGCTAGTTTATTAAAAAGCCCTGATGTACTGAAAGTTTTAACCTGAGTGTTAAAGTCTTTAGAAAAATACTTAAACACTCATAATAAAAAAGAAAAACATTTCAGGCTGTTTAATCAGAAAGCAGAATATGCAAATTATTCAAATTTAACCAGAAACACTTTTTTTTCAGCACGCTTTACTGAATCATTACACAAAGTGGCCACTCCATCCCATATCTCCAGCATTTCTCTGCTGGGATTTCTTACCGTACAAAGAAAGATTTTTAAAAAGGCTGGTAAAAGTAAAGGAGAATGATTGTCCGTGTTTGCAAACCAAAATAGTGTAATTTTTATGGAACTTTAATCTTTATAGCACAGAGTTAATTGTTGAAAGTAATCATTAAATTATAGGACTCAACCAGAGATAAGCATGGTTATTTTGGCATACATTCTACCCTTTGCTGTTTCCAACACTGCATATGTCCTTTATATCTTGTAACTTTAATCAGGCCCCAATCTCTGCAATATTTTCAACATTTTTGCAAGTGATAGCCTGACAGCTTTCTGAAGAAAGACCTCAAAACACATCTCAAGAGTTTTTATGAACTAAAAGAATAATTCCCTTCATAAGAGATTAAATTGCAATAAGCATCTTTGCGATGATTACTGGAAACTGGGATGGCCTACAAAATGGTTGGGGTGGCAACAGACTTGGATGGAGAGAATATTCAATTCAATTCAGTTTATTTAGTTCCAATTTACAACACCTAATTTCAATGCACTTTATAGAGAAAATTTACCACAGAGACAATTTTGAGTCCTCAATGACTATATAAACTTATGTAGATAACACCAGCCCGAATAAAACAGTGAGATGCTTCCTCTATAAACCCCGGCTCAGTGTGATGCATGTTCCCCTAGTGGTCCTTGAGTGCTTTGCAAGGGGTACAGGAAAGTATTTTATTTCTTGGGTGGTAAAATAAAATAGGGCTGGGATCGGTTTTGCTGTGTGAGGACCCAATTGAAAAATTAAACAAGCTTTTTATCAACCAAAAACCAGCACTGACACCTGTCCAAACTTAACAGAGAACAGACTGGGTGGAGAGAAGAGGCTGGGATGAGATGTTTTTTCACACTGAGCTATCGGAGCTCATCAAAGCAGCTCAGGTGTCTCAGAGTAAAACTAATTAAGTCAGTCTGACAATAGTTTATGTTCTGTATTTTATTCCCAATTCATCAAGTTTAAATGTGATTATAAGGAGCTACTAATTTTATAAATACAGGTTTATAATATAATTTAATTTTGTATTTATTTTGAGTCCGTACTGAATTCCGGGCAACATTTTTTTATTTGAGATAAAAAAACAAAAACTATAAAAATGAAATGCTCATATTAAAAGATTAAGTAAAATAGTCTTTATTTCAGTCATTGTATGTCACACTTTAAGACAACCATCAAAACTTTTGACTGAGTGGTACTCATGGATCACCAGTGAAGTGACAGACAAGAAAGTAAAGAGATCCTTCATGGAGGGGTACAGGGAAAGTCAAGATAGGAGACAAAAAAAGTTTGCAAAACACACTGGAAAACAACCTTCAATTTTAGAGATAAAAAATTTGACAGGCTTAAAATAGACAGGCTACAGACAGAATGAGGACAAAACCTCTGTGCTGAACCGCTGAAGAATAAGTTCAATTCGGTGACTTACATCCACATTCCACTGTCTGGTGCTCCTTCTGAGAGTTAAAATTAAAGTCAAAATTTCAAAATGATGTCATCCCCAGAGTCCCGAAGGCCTGTGCAGAAGATGTCTTCAACCTTAGCGTGACCCAGGAGGTGGTTGCACTGTTGTGGGCACATCATGTCTTGGTTTAGTACCAAATATAACTCACTGATCAGTCCACAATGACTATAGACTGTTGTTTTGACATATGACATCCTTGAGAGAATAAAGAAGCAACTATCAAGATCCCTTGAGGATCTTTATCAATGTTTTCTGGAGATAAAGATACCACTCTAAACCTCCTTAAAAATAATCTGCGGTCATTTAGACAAGGCAGATAGTAATGTGAAGACTATGTTATTTGATATCTCCAGTGCATTTATCACATTGTAGCCTGATTTGATTTTACCTTAAATTACAGAAGACTCAGTGGGAGACCCCAACAATCCCCTGGATCAAAGACTACCTGTGACATAATACTAGGTTAAAGATGAGAGAAAGATGAGTTTGGCGAGCTCTAAAGAAGAGAAGTAACTAAGTAAGTAGATACCAATTATTCAGTGACTCAAACATGGAGAATTATTTCTTGGCTTTCAGTATGAGTGGAGGAGATGGAATCCAGAAGGAGATGGTTTACTCACTTAGCTGACATTGGCAGCTAAGATTGTTTGTGAGGATCCATTCTTCATGTTGTGTTAGTTGTTGATTGAGGAGAATCCCAGCAGAGTAGGACTAGACTTTTCTCTGGTGAGAACTCTTGTTGGAAAGAAGGCTACAGCTCGTGACTTCACATGTCAAATGTCATCTCAAGGCACTTTACAGAGACAGTACTGTAAGATTGGTTAAGAAAACCAGTTGATTAGATCCAGTCATTGAATTACAAGACATGTCCCTCCTTGAAGAGCCTGTGGCGAGGGCTTTTTCTTACATTTTGTTGTTGACTATTAAGCAATCTCTCACACCAAGCATGCATTTAGTGACAGTGGAGAGGACAATCCCTTTTAACATTAAGAAGACTCCAGCAGAACCAGGCTCAGAGCGGCCATCTGCTGAAGCTGACTGTGGTTCAAGGAAATGGAGGAGACATACAAAAGGAAGCAGATAAGCAAAACTTTTAAACAGCTCCACAGGTGGCCTCATCCAGGAAAAACACCACCAGGCAGATGAACTCTGAACCGATTCTGCTAGTCAGAGTAAAAGAAACAGGACAAAAAGATTAACATGGAGCCTTGTTAATTTTTATTTATTGAATTTTACAGCTTGACATACCTCAACCATTAGTACAATGAAAACATAGTAGTTATAGAAAGGAAGAGTTTTAAGCTGATTCCTCCCAAAACCCAACCCACCCTGAGAACACCCCATCTAGGTCAAGACACAAGAAAACCAGCAGAGATCCAGTCCCTGCTTCTAACACGACGTACATACATATCCATCCACACACTTTCCATGGGAGGCAGAGAAAAAAATATTATAATAATATACAATTTAATCTTCTTCCGTATCAGGTATCAAGGTAATGGTACCCACCACCGAAAGGAAAGGTCTCCAAGTCTCCATAAATTTGTTGGTGGAACCCTTGATTGAAAATCTGAGCTTTTCACTCCTTCAGGTTGTAAAGAACTTCTCTGACCCAGTGGTCATGAGACGGGGGGACGTTTAATTTGCATCTAAGTAAAATGAGTCTTCGAGCCAAAAAGGTAGTAAAGGCTAGGGCCTGTTTCAAAGAATGTGAAAAGTCCGTGTCTGGAGGGATGCCAAATATAGCCGATAATGGACTGGGGAGAACAGCCTGATTATATGCTTGATTTAGTGTTTTAAAAATGTTGATACCGTCTTTGCTAATGCTGCATTATAAGGTACTTTATAGCATATTTTACATTATATTAAAACATG